CTTTATCCTTTTTCAGACGTATATGCATTACCTACTGTAAAGACTGGTTTACAGTTTATGGTAAAAAAACAAAATTGTTTAAAAAAATGATTTTACCCATATTGTTAATTTGTAATCTTGTTTCTATTGTTGTAAATCCTGTTTAATATTTTGAAAAACAACTACAATCTGCACATAACTCAGTCTGATTGCCTGATTTTAAACACCAAAATAGATGTTACATTCCAAAAATTACTCAGAACTCCAGTTGCCATTTTTAAAAGTGCCTTTTGCTATTACTTCACTAATTTGTTTGATGACTACTTTCTTTTTTTTACTTGAGGAAAAAAAAGTTAAAATACTGCTACTGTTAGTTGATTATATTTTTTGGGTACTGTACCCACCCCTGTCCACAACCCTCATCTACCTTTTACTCCTGATGATCTAATATTTTATTGATTGTCTACTATGAGGAAATGTTTTTATATCACTCCAGCTAATACTATTTAACCAACAGGAAGTTGCTTATAGTTATTTTAGTTTCACCTGGGGTCCCAATTGGTCATACTTTACAATCAAGGGGACCAAATTGGGATTGATCCAAAAAATAAAGGAAAACCAAGCTTATAGGTAATGATATACTGTTAAATTGAACAACTTAGGAGATTGCTATTTTTATCATTAATAACCAATTATTTATTCATTCATGAAATACTTTACTTTATATTGAATAAACTGAAGTGCTAAAGTTCAAGTATGTAAAAGTGATAGAAATAAATTGATAAATTCATTAGTATCTGCTAATTAGTGCTGAAATAAAAAAAGTTGTTAATTTTTTTTATATGAATTCCTGACATTAGTAAAAATTGTACATATAAATAATGAGAGGTCAGTGCCTTATTGAGATGCGTAAGGTGTTCAATCACAACAGTATAAATTCAGACTCTGGAAAAACCACAGAGTTGGTATTAATGGACCTCAGTGCAGCGTTTGATACTGTTGATCACCTGATTTTATTAGAGTGTCAGGAAACCTGGGTCGGCCTTTCTGTTACAGCACTGGACTGGTTTAAATCCCACCTGAAGGACAGGGACCTCTATGTGTCAGTGGGGAACTTTAAATCAGAGTAAGAAAATCGCATGGTGGGTTCCTCCTATTCAACATCTACATGCTTCCCTTAGCTTAGATTATAGCAAACAACCAAAATCAGTAACCATAGCTATGCAGACGACACACAGCTTTACATCACAATGTCCCTGAACCTATCAGAGTGTTGGCTTGATGCTTAGAACTGATCAATGTGGATGCACCATAATTTTTTACAAACAAATAAAATAAAAAATGGGTTAATAATCTTTTGGCCAAAGGAGGAGAAACACAGAGTTGGCTCACAGCTTCAGCTACTGCAGCTAGAAACCACTGATTATGGCCAAAATCTTGGATTCATGATGGACTGAGACCTGGACCTTCAGCACATACAGGCAGTTACCAGGTCAATATTTTATCACCTGAAGAACATCTCTAGGATTAAAGGACTAATGTCCAAACAGGATCTAGAAAAACAAATTCATGCATTTATCTTTAGTAGAATTTATTAGTGCAATAGTGTCTTCACAGGTTTGCCTAATAAGTCCATCAGACAGCAGGAGCTGATCTAATACGCTGCTGCCTGTGTTCTCACTAGAACTAAGAGGGTAGAGCACATCAGCCCTGTTCTGAAGTCCTTCCACTGGCTCCATGTAGATCAGAGAATAGACTTTAAAATCCTTCTGGTGGTCTACAAATCACTCAATGGATCAGCAACTCAATACATAACAGATCTGTTGTCAGTGTATCAACCCCCCAGACCACTCAGGCTTTCTAGTTCCAGTCTACTCTGTACACCCAGAACTAGAACCAAACATGAAGAAGCAGCATTTAGTTCCTATGCTCCACTTATCTGGAATAAAACTCCCAGAATACTGTAAAAGTGCTGAAAGCTCCTTTTAGGTAGAAGTTAAAAAACCCATTTGTTTAGAACTGCCTTTGAGCGTCAAAGTTAAACTGTTAACCGAGTTATTATTAGTTTAAAGTTGTGATGCAATTGCTTTATTTGTTTTAAAAATATTTTTGCTTTTATTTTTCTTCTTTTTTATTATCTAGTTCATGTAAAGCACCTTTAATTGTCCATGTATTGAATTTTGGTATGCAAATAAACTTGGCTAGCCTTATTTTTGTGCTGGTTAATAGAACTTTAGAGGGTTGTCTGTTTCTTTAAGCAATGAAGGGAGTCATGATTATCTTATTATGATTATGTTTATTTGTAATCTGTGCTTAAAAAAAGTCCACTCTGTCCGTATAAACCTACATGTTTAATATTGTTTCTAACAGCTTAATGCAAACAAAGAAAGAATGGCTGACAAAGACTTTATCATATCCTTGAAATGAAAATGAGAAAGAGGAACTGATTCCAAATGCCAATCACAACCCAGACCAAACCACATGTCTTTCTCCTATGCTGCCTGTCTCTGCCTCATTTTTGCATCAGGAGATGCCATGGCGGAAAGCTATAGCCGGCTCATGTTTATGCATTCTAATGAGCACACCCTGGGAAATATATGCAAATTCATTTTGTCATCAAGAAGAAAATAGAGGACAGGAGAGCTGCAGATACAGGAGGGGCATAAGGGAGGAGGGTGAGCGCAAGAGGCGGGATTGGGTTGAGGGAGGTGTTTGTGTGTGAGTTTGCACGTCTGTGAGTCTGTTATAAATGTGTGATGGGGGTCAAGGGCACAATGGAAGTAGGCACACAGTAAGGGACATATGTAGACCCTATCCCACCCCCACCCTTCCCATGACAGATTACACATTAATAAAGCCCACAGAAATGTATTGTCTTTAGATTTATGTCAATTATTATTTAGAAAGGTACAAATATATAGAGTGGATATAGAGAAAGTTAATAAAAGGTGTCTTATATGTATACATAATTGAATACAAGTCATAAGTATTTAAAGGTACAGTGTGTAATAATTGCTGGAATTTACTGACATAAATTTAATATATTATCTAAATGTATGTTATTTATTATCATCTATGAACTGAAAGTCTAATTTTTATGTTTGACTTGCCTCAGTAATTGTGTTTTATAATTATATAGGAGTGGGTTTGTATTTGTGGATGCAGACATCTTTAAAGCTGACAAACTAAAGCTGACATTTTGATTTTAAAAAGCATTTCTCTGTGGCCTCATTCACTAAAATAGAGGTAAATTCATGATACTTTTTAATCTCCTAATTTGTATACTTGTCAATGTGGGGGAGTGGTGGCCTAGTGGTCCCACAGACTGCCACTCTGGGCACCTGAGCAAGACCTTTAACGCCACATTGCCGCACAATGGCAACCCACTGCTCCCAAGGGGGATGGGTTTAATGCGGAGGGTAAATTTCATTGCACTGGTAACAGCATAATAACAATAAAAATGCTGGGAGGAAAAAAGCATTTAAGAATTTATGGATTTGATGCCAAGATCTAATGTAAATAGAATCCATCATCACTTGAAAAGATAGGTAACGGGGACGTTGCAGAAGCCTTTTTGTACCATGAAGGTATTAATGTTGCAGTTTGTAGTATGACCATTAGATGTTCAAGGAAAAGTCCGGTCAGCAAGGAAGAATCAATGGATCATTATTTATACCTAAAACTCATACGCTCACTGTGATTTAATTAATTTAGCGTTAATCGGTAAAAAAAATAAAAAACAATAATTTTCAATCAATTTGATCACTGAGTCCGGGACTGGCCATTTTTGCCCACATATAGTGAAACCTCATTCCTGACATCTTCGGCAGTGAAGTCATGGTGCAGTAAGCCTAGCGCCATTCTGCCCACTTTACAAGCAAAATCAATCAGAACTAGTAGACACATCTGCAATCAAAAACAATTATTTAAGATTTTGAGAGGACTTCACCATTGAAATTCGCCAGAGCTATAGTTAAACTGACAATTCCCACGTGCATCGCAGATGGATGTTGTAATACATCGGGTCAAAGTGAAAAAAAAAATGTTATTTCAGCTTTCCAATTCATGATTCCCCGCCAACTTGAATAGGGAGGATTTGCCATCACTCTTCTGGCCAGAGAAAAAACACGTAATATGTAGTCAACATTTCGAAAAAGAATGTTTTCAAGATGACTTGGATAATAGTGCATTGTAAAAAAAAACACCAGATACAGCACTGGGACTTGCTCAACGGCTGATACTGCGCCGTGAATTTGTTTGAAGTTTGAAATTGACCAGACTTTTCCTTTAATAACAATAATAATTATTGAACTTTATTGATGTCACATTAGAGAAATCCTCTCTCTGCATTTGACACATTCCCTCAGGGATCAATGGGCTGCCATGGTGTGGCGCCCAGGGAGCAGTGTGGGGTAAAGGGTCTTGCTCAGGGACCCAGGGTGGAGGCTGTGGGGATTAAACTGGGTACTTGGAACCTTCTCAGAGCTCAAGCCTACTGCTCTAACCACTAGGCCAACACTCCCTATATAGTCTAAGGTGGGTCTCGAACCAACAACCTCAGTAGGGGAAGTCAATGTCTTAAAGCTGACTCCACTTGCAATAGCAGATGTTGCTGAACATCACACAATGTAGCTTTAAAAAGCTGGGCCTCTGGAGGTCAACTGCTTTTGAATTATTTATTAAATGACTGTATTTATTTCAGTATTAAATGTAACATGTAAGAAACTATTAATATTATTGCAGTTTTTGTTGATGTGGGATTTCAGGATTTTTTTTTTTTTTTTTTTTGATTTACCATTCAGAAATATCACTAAAAACACTTCCTTACCAAACATGTGGTCAAGTTGGCAATTGAAATATTAAAATCTTATTAAACAATATTAATACTGGTCTTTCAGTTCAGCCAAACCGGTTGGTGCTGGTTTAATATAAGTTGAGATCTTGCAGTTGCAGCGAACCGCCGGTAGGGGTCCAGATGACTCTGTCATTCAACCAAGGGGGAAGGAAAAGGCGGACGGACCGCACCGGCGGCGGGCGGATGTAGAACGTTTCTGATACGAGCTCGTCAGAAGATGCACATGGAGTCGCACCGCCGCTGGACGTTTGAAATTAAACGCTGCTTGTATGGATTTCTGTATTAAAAATCATCGAATCGAAACCAGTTCAACGCGGGAGGTGGTATGTATTGCGTTTATGTTTTATGAGGAAAAAGGCAAGAAAATTTTGGTCTTACGGCTTATAGCATGAGGTTAACGTAAGCTAATAGGGTTAGCATTGTGCTACCTGTCCAAAGTGCATTTTCAGTTAGCTTCATATCTACTTATGCGTTATTTTTTTAAACAATTTTAAGTATTACATGCTTTTCCCAGCAGCATTTATTGTCTAGAGTTGATATAAAACGTGATATGAGCGTTAACACTGTGTGCTGTTGTGAAAGTCATTGACAAGTGGTAGAATTTACTGACAATTAACACCTCAGGTGGTGGGATAGCCAAAGTCTTTTTAATAAAACCTGGAGCATTGTTTCTTTGTTTTATTTCCCCCCAGTGGGATAAAAAAGAACAAAATGCTGTTTAAAAATTTGAATAAAGACAAATGAATACATGTTTAAATGGAAATTGTCTCGGTTTGGTCAGAAGGAAAAAAGTCTGTGTTTTATCCATTTATTTTGTCTTACTGACTTATGATTAGTTAATTAATGGCACATCCCACTTTTTGCTGCTTTCCTCTCACTTCTTAAAAGCTTTTTTGTCGCAGTTGATCCTTGTGAGGCATTCAAGTGCACTTTATTATGCATTATATAATAAAGAAGAAATTCACTTCAGTTTTGGATGAAATGTCGCAAATATGTTATTCAACACTCATAAGCAATATGTGTTTTCTCCATTACTAATTAAAGTTGGTGTTTCTTTTTAATTTTTATAAGTGATTAAATAGGTTACTAAAAAAAACTTCTAAATGTTATCCATTAATGGCTAGTGATATATCTATGTTTTAATTAAGTAATTATTAGGGATGAAACAATTAGGCGGTTGAATCGATTATTGAAATAATAGTCAAATGATTTAGTAATTGATTAATCGTTAACTGGAGTTTAGAGACTAAAATATGCTCGTCACTGACAAAGCAACCCAATTAAAGCAGTAAGTATACCAAGAATATAAAAAAATAAAATAAATGTAAACATTTGTCACTATGCTCTATCCAGAACTCCTCAAGTGGAAAAGTTTTAGTTTCAGCTGTTTTAATTTCATAAAAAGTCTTCTTTAAGTAATCTTTGGCTAAACGATTATTAATCGATTAATCGAAAAAAAAAAAAATCAAAAGTTGAATCTATTTGCAAAATAATCGTTAGTTGCAGCCCTAGTAATTATACAACATAAACAACCTTAAATTGTGTTTTTTTGCGTATCAGATTGCATTTTCAGACTTATTTACACTATGTAGATTCAAGGGCGTAGAGATGATCAAGTATATTCACCAGTGCCAAACACTTGAGAAGAGAGATAAAAACCTCCTAGCATAATATATATAAAAGCAAAAAATGTCCAATCTAATAAAGTGCATGCTAGGAGTGTTGATGGTTTGGCTCAGACTCTGCCATTTAATTAATTTAGCCACAATGAGATAACCTAGTAATTGCGTGTTGTTTACTGAGAATTATATAACTAGTAACCTGTTAAAGATGCACACTGCCTTTTGTTGATACGTCCTGCTTTCCCCAACCCTGCAAGGAAACTGAATAATGAATAAATACAACTATTTGTTTGATAACCCTTTGTTATTGATCAAAAACAAATATTTCATATATTTTTTTCACCATGCACAGAGTAGAGATGGATCGATACCTTTAGCCAGTATTAGTGCGGTATAGGTAGGCTGATACACGCATGCGTTAGCCAATTCATTAAGAACACGTGAAGTGCATGCATTTCTGCTCCCTTCATTCGCTCTACTTTGCTAATGTTTTTTTTTTCCTTTTTTTTTTTCTTTTAGTGTAACATTTGTTATCATTGTGTCAATTTTAGAATGCAAAATTGAGAAGAAGCTGAAAGATAAGCTGAAATAATAGCTTATCCCTGCCAAAATATTGGCAGGCAGCTAGACTGATCTGCATGCTAGCTGCAACTCTTCCCCTTTTTGTGGTATTAAACCCTCTTTAAGCTTATGACCACCGCCTTAAGGGCTGTAGTAAGACAGTTGGTGTCTCTTTTTTTTTTTTTTTTTTTGTTGAATGCCAAAGCTTGAGTGTCTCCGCAATTTAGAAATGGCAGTTTTTACAATTATGATTATATTGCAAATGGAATAAAATTTGTGACCCTACTAAATGCACGCTCAAACCAGATTCACTTAAAATGTACAAATCCATGTTGCTTAAGGTCCCACTGGAGGTTTCCAAAGACCTATGATTTGGGGTGTAGCATCATCTGCTGTTTCTGGTCCATTTTGTTTTCTCAAGTTTAAAGTCAACAAAGGAGTCTGCCGGGAAATTTAAGAGCGTCGCATGCTTCATTCAGTTTTATAGAGATGCTGCTTTCCTTTGCCGGCAGGGCATTCCCATACTGGTACCAAAAGGTGGTTCAGTGACCATGATGCTACCGGACCCCCTGTTGTAGACCTCTTCTATAGCAGCATAACTACAGAGATGGTGTGGGACAAATTCAACAGCTCCAACTAAAAGCGTTATGAAAAGGAAAAGTTTGAAGGCTTGTCTTGAAATTTAAAGAACTGTGTCGTCACAGACAAATGCACCGTTCTTGTTTCATATGAGAGGAACCTAAAAACTTAAATACTTGCATCAAATTCTACTTTCAGGCTACTTTAATCACAGAGCAGAGTAGGCAACCAGCAACAAAGTTTTATTTTTTCTTATTTTCTTTTTTATTATTATATTTTTATATATATATTTTTATAGTCTACATTTAGAAGCAGAAAATTGAGTCAATATTTTCTTTTTAATAAATCCTTATTTGTGCCCTTTCAGCTCCTCTGGTCGTGAGCCAGGCTGCAGTGACATGGTGATATACGTCGACCGGCAGAAGGCGGCCATGGAACCGAGGAGCGACAGCTGTTTGCCGATGACTGGTGAAGGCACTGGTTTGGAGGCTTTGGCCTCACCGCAGGCGGGGTATTTGGGAAAAGTCAGTGGCTTCCTCTCCTTGTCACTTGCGCAAAGCTGAATTGTATTTGAGAAAGACACTGTGATTGGGCAGTGCCACTCCAAATTTAAAATAAGGAAAACAAGTAAAAAAAAAAAAAAAAAAAAGTGGAAAACTCTTGTTGTAAAAGGCGAAACCATTGTTAGTGTATAAGATATGAATGTTTCTCTCTGTTTTCTTTTTTTTCTCTTCTGTCCTTAAATGAATATAAACTATTTAGTTATTAGCTTTTCAAGAGTATAAACCAAAAACGAATCTTCTTAGCTGAAAATCTTAGTAAATCTAATGTTTAATTTTTGTTCTTTAGGTCCAGGAAAGAGCTGCTTCACTGCATTATTGTCCTTGGTGTGCTTCGAAAGGCTTGAACTACCCTCTTCGTTCCTACCGCATCAATCTCCAGGAATCCATTACCCTCTGCACGAACCCACAGGTAAATCCCATTACTGTTTACACACAAACACATCTACAGAGATTGTTTATGATGGTACCCTGATAAAGAGGAAAAATCCTTCAAATACTCCATTCCTAATGATTATTTATAGTAATTATGCCCTGAAAAATCCAGCCTTTAACAAAATAGTGGATATATTTTACTAATCCACTTAAATTATAATAAATCTTTTATTTTTCATTTAATTTAATTTACTTCCTTTTTTTATTTATTTATTTATTTCGAACAGACAGTAAAAACAATCAAGAAGGAAAAAAAATTTGAATGAAACAAACTTAAGAATGAAAATATAAAACAAATTATTTTGCCCATGTGACATGCAAATTTTATTTTTTCTGTTCGAAAAGGAGCAGGTAGAAGATACATCTTATAACGTCCTGCCCCTTTCCTACTTATCAATTTATCACCAATTAACTGTCAAAACATTAAAAAACCAAAAAAACACTTGTTTCCATTCCACATGATATTTAGCCATGTACAATTATTTTAAGTACTATTTATGTCATCAATTACATTATAGACTATATTCTATAATGTAATTGACTATGTTCTTTTGTTTAAGATTTTCTAGGAACTTCTAATCAGTAATGCATGACCCTATTTCCTTGGGATACCAATATGACTTAACCAAGGGGCCTTCTTGGTCATAAGGCAGAATAAAGAGCAGATTCTACATCTGCAACCGCACACATCAAATGTCGCTTGGGTCTGCTCGAGAACCAGTTTTGCTGGTATGCTTCTGCACCGTCGGTCTGGAATTTCTAGGGACGCACAGCAGTTTCCAGCCAAAGCGCTAGGGGGAGCCTATTCGAGAACTCGTGAGAACTTCGGCGGATGGTCAAGGTAGCTTTGGCGGCGCCAGCGGGAGTGTTTATCTTCCAAAACAACAATGGCGCATCTGCAAGATATATCACAGTCATGAAGATGGATCTAGAGTTGCTAGACACAGAGAGGAACAGGTTCTGGCATATCTCCCTCCTGGAGTTGGCAGAGACCTTGGCATCTTTATATAATTTGTGTGAGGCATCGTACAAGTGGTTGTATTTCCGAACCTCCTCGATTAACCTTTCATCGTAGTTGCCCATTGTAGTTGTTCCTCAGGTTTTTAAACATGCCGCGCCCCGGCACCGAATCGAGAAGCAAGACCACACAGACAGTCGGAAAGGCATACCAAGGACCAATCACAGCTGCTTTTTGTTTGTGCAATTCCGCTTGAGGTCTGCGTGGGTTTGTGACCATCTGACGCATAGTCAGGATTTTTTTTTAGGTGCACGATGATGGTTGCAGAACCTCTGCGCGGGGGGTGTTCACTCAGAGAGACACATTGGAAGTTTTGCAGATGCATAAGTTGGCCTTAAGGGTCCACATTTATGTCTACAGTCGTTTCATGTACTCGATAATTACTGATAAATTGATAAACTGCAGAATTCTTAAAAATCTAAGTTTTCTCTTGTATTAAGAGGATCTTAACATGAAAAGCTATCCTGATTTATAAGGGCACATAGTTATATTCCAACTTTTTATTGTTCCTGCTGTATTGAATACTGAAAAAAAATTTTTAATTACATATTATTGAACTTATAAGCAGTAACAAAACATGAATGTTTCAGGTAATTGAAGGCATTGCTAGAATGTCTTCCATTATGTTATTTTTTCAGCATCACATCCTCGCCTTTACAACACGGCAGAGAATTTATGCTGCTACGTCATGAATCACTATTAAGGTGATAACGTGAATTTATGGAGGATTTATATATGCAAACAGAGGTGCATAAAGTGGGTTCTGCATCCTAGTCTCCATTAAACGGTGTCAATAATCCCAGACCGGAGCATTCCTGGCTGTACTTCTCTTGCAAATAACAGTGAAGCTCTGGTTCAGAATGAACAGTGGCGCCTTCTAGTGGACGGCAGTAACAGAACACTGAAAGGAAATTCTTTTTAATGCAAACTTTACAAATGAATTTACGGAAGAGGAAAAACTGGGGGAAAAAAAGTTAACGGATTTTTACATTTTATTTCAGTTTGACATGGGGAATTCTGACTTTAATCTCAGAATTCTGAGATTAAAGTCAGAATTCTGAAATTAAAGAATTTTGAGAAAAAAGTCAGAATTCTAAGATTAAAGTCAGAATTCTGGCTTTTTTCCCATGTTAAACTGAAATAAAATTAAAAAATCAGGTAACTTTCTTTTTTTTTTCAGTGGCCCTAATCCTCTTCCATATGAATCAGTTGGAACCAGTTCTGATCTAATAATCCATTAAACCTCAATTAATTGTAGGTTGATAGTTTGTTTAAATCCCTAATTTGAAAGTTTTAAAATGAAGAGAATAGACATGTAGTGAAGTGCAAGACTTTGCTTTGTTATGTACTTTTATCAGGTAAGCTCTGCTCCTGTTGATCTATTGTGTTTGCATATTTGCGTTTAGTGTGTCCAGCATGCTGGAGTAAATGTCACTCCATGTGGAGCGTTAGAGGGACAAGCTGGTCTGATTTTTGGGGACACTCCTTCATTCCCCGACAGATGAAGGTCTTAAGTTAACAGCGATGTTTTCTGCAGCATGCTTAAAATCCAAAAGCTTTCTGCTTTTGCTATTGGGGGTCCTGATGTGTTAACACCTGAGAGGAAATGAGATCAATGCTAAATATGTGCCCAGGCCTGCAGGCTGGTCTTTATTATGGTTTGGTGATAAACAGGCTGTATAGATGTTTATGTTTCCTTTTTTGTCTTTAGTTCACCTTTCTCCTGCACATGAATACACGTTAATACTTTTTATCTCTTCCACAGTTTAAAGATTCATTTCAGGAGTTTATTATAAATGATTGATTTGTGAAATGGATTTTTAAAAGTCTTAACCAGAGATGCATCAGCATTTGTGCTTTACCTGATTTTCATGAAAAATACAATTTGGATAGATAAAGTTAAATGTCCTTATATTCTGCATCTCTTTTTTTAATCAATTTGTTTCCCTTCCCCATTCAGTGTCTCTTCCCATTGGTCACTCGGCCCTTGGAGGATGTTTTGGCGAGCTTGAAACGCGTGGAGTCTACTGCGGGGGTGAAAAGGAAAAATGTCTTGGCTTTGGATGAAGAAGATGCGATTTGTCCGATTAAACGCCAGCGACCGGTCGAAGATGGTGAACTCCTTCCACAGAGTGTGCCTCACAGCTGCTCTTTAAAACCTGCGACAAATGGCGAGAGCGGGAACCCAAACAGAGACATTAAAAAGGTGGACGGATCCAACAAGGAAACTCCAGATGCTGAGCACAGGAGTGATCCTGCTCCTCCTGCATGTTCCCCCTCTCCGGGACACTCCTCAGAAGTTTTGCTGACAAGTAGTAAAGCAGAACCTCCTGCCTCGTTTGTTCACCTCGTCTCCCCTGATGTAATAAAGCAGAAAAATGATCAAACTTCAAACAGATGCAACAGACTGTATTCCAGTGAAGCTGTTCAATCAGTTAATGTTAAAACCCCATCGGCCCTAAGCAATGAGGAAACAACGCCCTCAGAGAAACAATCACTCATGGCGGACATCCCCCCAGGTCAAGATGTTAACGGCTTCCATCCAGAGAGCCAAGATTTGTCTGAAAATCTTGTTTCTGTTCCAAAACAGCTGCTGTGGAGGAACAGCGACAGCCTGTGCTGGCTGGACTCCCTGCTGGCCGTGTTAGTGAACTGTAAGAGTTTAAGAAAACTTGGAGCTAAAGACGAGCCTCAGAGCTCGTCTGTGTGGCGGCTCCTGAAAGAATACGAAGAAATCTGTGCTGCCGTCCAGGAACACCAGCAAACTAGCACAGGTATGTTTAACTATACTTCAGTTTGCTTAATCTGAAGATAAAGTCTGGATTATTTTTAAATTTAAGCAAACAAAACTTTTGAAGTTAAGCTTCATTCAAAGAGGTGATTATGCTACGTTCACACAGGACGCGCTTTGGACAGCAAACAAGTGTCTGCTGCTTCATTTTTAAAGCTTGTACACATTAGGGTCAGACTCGCTGATGCATCTGCTGCTCCTGTGTTCAATGGCAGAGAGCGGCTTTGCTATATTTGCTGTGATCAGAGGTTAAAAGTAGTTTTAAAAATCTCTAAGTGAGAAAGTCTACCTCAAAAAGCATCTTCTGTGCAATCAGTTCATCAATATTACAAACTTTAAGGTATAGTGGAGGATTTTCAAATTTTTTTAAAACAACCCACCCTTTCAACTTAAAAAAAAAAATTCACATGTACAACTCTGTACCTGCTCCCAAGAGGGAGCGCCGGTTTAAAAGTTGCTGTTTGCGTCGCTCGTACAAGCTTACTTTCCTAAAGATTTGCAATTTTTCCACTATGTTCGACTCACCACTGGTAAGTGAAAATGGGGACGAGCACGTAGGACGGCCTTATGTAAACATAACACCAGAATGATTGACAATTAGGAGGACCACTGATTTTGTAGCCTAGTAGACGAGCCCCATCCGCCAGCGGCCAAAATCATTTTTGCCTGCAAGTGGTCTAGCCTCACTCAATGCCCCGGGCCTTAGAACTGGCGGACCAATCACAACGCAGAGATGTGTTTTGAATTTCTGGATGCAAAGCTGTTTTTAGGGCGGGACGACAAAGCTGCTCGAAGCTGGGGAAAGCACAACAAGCAAGATGGCAACAACTATTGAACAGTTCTCGTTTGACTCTGCTTTAGACTTGGGGGTTTTCGTTGAAACGTGAGCGGGAAGAGGCTCTACGATCATTCATTTTTGAGAAGGGCATATTCACCGTTTTACCGACAGGCTGTTCTTTTTACACTCCCCCACCAGCTTTCTGTCGCACGTTATGTCAGTTGCACCCATTGGTCAGAACGTTGGCCAATTGGCACAGACACAGTTTGAAAAACAACTGGTTGTTCTCATCAACAGTCTTCCAATGTCTCATTCATCGGGGCCAGACTAAATTACACATTTAATCTCCCATTTAGTCTGGTTTATCAGGCTACTGATTTTCATGATCCACCAGGAGAAAGAACATCCTCCACTATATCTTTAAAATATTATTTTAAGTTCAATTTATCCAACTCCAGCAGCTGCTGCTTGTGAAGCTCATCACATGCTTAGAAGCTTGTGAGGTGCTGCTCAGATGCATCAAGATGAGTTGCAGTGCCTTTTGATGCGCCTTGAAGCACGTCAACCTTTTACTTGGCATGTAAACCTGCTGCTTCAATCGCGTGCAGTCTGAAAGTAGTGTTAGAATGGCCCAAATTATTTGGTCCATCATGTGTAAACGTGTCAGCAGTGTAGAAAATGTAGTGTTTATGTTGATTTAAATCTGTTTTTGGATAGATGGCGTTGTGAGGGTACCAAACCATGTGCTGCAGAACGCCCATGTTCGCCTGGAGAGTCTCAGGATGTCTGTTTTTGAGCTTCTGCAGCCCAAACTCCACTGCAAGCTGGGTAAGACGGTTTACATCAGCCTTTTTCACAAACCTTCATGTTTCTTAAAGCTCAGTCTTCATGATCTTCATGCTATAATGTCTGATTTCTGAGTGATGTGGTAGTTTGTTCCTTCTCTGAATAAGTACAGGAACCTAAATCGGTTCAGGACCAAATCATTTCCCGGGCTTCTCAAAGCAAAACGTTACAGACGTTCAAGATGTCACTGGACCTGATTGATTATTTATTTATTTTTTGTACACAAGTGTTTTTCAAAGCGGCACACATGGAAAAATAGAAAACATTGAAACGGCCTTTGGAGCCGTGGTTTCGGTCAACTTAACGTTTAAATCTTGACCAATGCAGAAACATCTCCAACAAATTGATGCTGATGTTTTGTTTACGGTCCATGGCTGATAAGGTCATCTTGGGCACTTTAAAGCTTAAATGTGGAAAAGATATTTTCCTCCAACACATATGTAAGGAATTTTGCTTCAGGTTAGGGCTGCAACTAACGATTATTTTGCAAATCGATTAATCTGACGATTATTTTTTTCAGATAGACAAAGGTTCCTTAAAGAAGATATTTTACGAAATTAATCCAAGTGAAACTAAACCTTTTCCACTCGAGGAGTTCAGAATAGAGCATATAGACAGATTAAAACGTAATTGCAGAATGTTTACAAATATTTTTACAATCTTGGTATAGTTACTGCTCTAGGCGGGTTGCTCTATTAGCTGAAGCCATGTGTTAGAGACACTCTAGTTAAAGATTAATCAAGTAGTACTCAAGTAGTTGACGATTATTTAAATAATTGATTCATTACAATTAATCGTTTTATCCCTACTTCATTCTCCCTGACTATGAGGGAACAAATCCAGCTCAATGTTGTGTTATTTCTAATAATAGATAGTTTGTGTTTTAGTGGCCAGTAAGAGTAAAACAGAAGGTACGGATCTGTGTGGGCTGGTTTCCTGTAAACCTAAATGTTACTGTTTCTGTAGACGATAATAAAAGGTTCGTTAGAGAGGATGCTAACAACAACAAGCCGTTTGTTTTTCCAGTTTTCGATGGTTTGGTGCAGATGGAAAGAGACGGGAGCCTCAGCGTTCTCTGACCATCCTCTGTAGTCAGAATTCTAAACCATTGAGACAAACTCTTTATGTCGTCTTTTCTCTCCAGCTGAATATTTCTCTAACCTCCCTACTAATTCTTTCATTTGCATTTTGTTCCCTCATATTTTATCCTTCTAAGCTCTTTTGAATGTATTCTAAAATGTCCCAATTTTTTTCTTTTAAGCATAAATCTGCTAAATGTATCTGAAAATCATGAGAGATGTCTAAGCAGTCAAAGCCTTTAATCAAACTAAGTGCTTTTATTTTCTACTTCATTCAGCCTTGGCATCACTCTTGCATAAAGATAAAATCCAGTCTCATGTGTGTTGACGTGCTTAACAGAGGGAAGCAAAACTATTTTTTAGTTAAGTTAAGGAGAAAATATCTGATTCAGAAGGACAAATTAGCTCTATGTAGCCTTGCTTTCTGTTTGCACATTTAGTTTTTGTTCAGAAATGAAGTGTAGTGTCTTTAACACGTAATCATTCTGCGTTCTTCAGGTCAAAAGGAAACGCCTGTTTTCGCCTTGCCTCTTCTGCTGTCATTGGACTCCTGGATGGAGCGCCTCTTCCAGACCACTTATACCTGGGAGTTCAAGTGCAGCAAATGCAAAGTGAACACAAAAGAAAGGTTGGTGATGGTTTATTTTCTGCACTAAATCAAAGGGAAGCTTTAAAATCTTAAAACCAAAAAGATATTTCTATTTTTAGCAGCCTAATATCGCTAGAATTTATCCAGGCTGTTTTTTTTATGTTTATCCTCAGTGCTGCAACTGTGGGCATTTCTGACCTATTCTCTATGATAAATTCTATTAAGAGTTGTTTTGTTTTTATTTTTCCAACTCAAACTCATGAATGTCTGACATGTGAACTATGAACCACGTTCATCTTGTAACCAATAACAGTGAGGAGGTAGGAGAAAACTCTAAAACTGTTGGAGAAATGAAACAATTTGGTTAATTACCAAGTTTGCTTCATCTTTAAAGATGGAAACCAGGGAAAAAAAGTGTTCTTTATCCTTGAAATGTAGACATGTGAAGGTTTGTGAGCTTTGAAGAGATGAGACAAAGGTTGAGGTCTGAAGGAACAAATCCTACAGGAGGGTTTGACAATGATACAAATACAAAAGCAGCCAATGCTTTCTGTAGCTTATGATGGATTGGTCTGATTCAAGGACACTAGGACCTTATTGGAGTGCAGGAAAATATTAGATGCCTTAAATAAGAGAGAAATTGTGAAAGAATGCCCTTCTTGTTACTGTTGTAATATTGGAATAAAGAGGTGGCAAAGACTGCGCTTTATTAACTGTATTTTCAAAAAGAATTTTCTGGAAATGCTTTTTTTTTCTAACTCAAACTTTAAAGGTTTAATTTGACAAAATATGAATGTATTTTAAGATGTTTTACGCATCTTTCTATGAGGAGTGGGTTTCTAAAAACCTAAAGGGTTTAGAAACTGATTGAAGTGAAGAACCAGTAAAGGAACCTGACATTTTAATAGAAGTTTTCTTCCTGTCGGTAATATTGAACCAATTACTGTATCAAATGGCCTGGTACAAAATAAGTACCTGGATATGCTGCAGTTTAACACTTTATCGACTGAACTGTGCTGCAGTATTTGGATGACTCATTTGTTTTTTTGTTGCTTTTCAGGGTTGTGAAAACTCTCCCGACTTTCACAAATATTGTCCCCGGTTGGACCCCTCTTAACGCAGCTCATTTGGCTCCATGTAATAATTGTTGCAAAAAGAACCAGAAGAGGAAAATGTTGCTGGAGAGGTAAGTTTTAAAACTCTACACCTATAAGTAATGACAGTAAAAGTAAGGCAGATGTCCCAAACTCTGGTCTTTGCCTTCCACGTCTTAGCTGCCTCCCTAGCATCTGATCAGGATCTACAGAGCTCTGCTGATTGGCTAATATTTCAGTTAAATGAGTAAAGTTTGAAGGGCAAATTTCCTGAAAGCCAGAGTTTTAGATCCTTCATCAAGCTGTGTGTTTTAAAAAAAAAAAGTTGAATAGTGCTGGGCTTCATTAACATAGCCTTGCTCAATTAAACTCCTTTAAGTGATAATACAGGGTTTCCGCAGGTGATTAAAAATCATTAAATGTCATTAAATTATTATTTTTTAAATTAAGGCCTTAATTGGCATTAAAATTCATTAAATGTTTTTATTGTGGAATTTGAAATGCTTTCTTTAAAAAAAAATTGTTTATGAAAACAATTTCGTCAAACATATTATATCACGATATATTTGTGTGGAACTGCTTCCGGTTGATCGCAAAACTGTATGTTCAGAAAAGGCTAGAGAATGGGGGGAAATACCAATTTTAACAGAAGTGGCTGGAAAATGAGGAATTCGAGACATGGCTGCAGCCTGTCGACGGGTACCTGTTGGTGGCATTAAAATGATTTCTAAGAGCATTAAAAAGCAATAAGTTAGAGTTATTTATTCCTGTATAAACCCTGTAATATCCCCACATCACCATGTTGCCACCACTTGTTTTAATTGTAGTCCTAATGTCTTTAGAAATATTACAGGGTTCCTGCGGATCCTTAAAAAAATCTTGCATTGAATTCTTCAATATAAAAATAAGGCCTTAATTGGTATTAAAATGTCTTAAATCAGTCTTTCATAGATCTTAGAATTGTCACAGAGTCATATTATCAAAATTAAGATAATTCACAATAATGTTTTTGACATTTACCGAACGGCTTAGCTGCAAACATTATTTGTTCCTTCCTGATAACAGAACCAATAAAACAATGTTGCACACAGACCTTGTGGTGATGCGCCGATAACTTTTTACCTGTGGAAGTGCAACTTCAATGAAAATTGGCTGTCCAACTAAGAGTTTTCTGCATGGCTAAAAACAGCACTAGGTAATATATATGAGGAATAGCGTATTTTTAGCAAGAAGTCATTCAGGCTCAGCATGATGGGAATCAAAGCTGTGGAGTCAGACGTGTGAAGAGTTAAAAACAAAGCACCAAAATCAAGTTACAGAGAAGCAGCAGCTATTTCTCAGTTCTGTTCCGCCTCTACAGCCATCTCCAATGTCTAAAAAAGCCCCAGTAGTACTAAATCTCTGGATAATGTTTGGTGGTTCGCCTACAATGAAAGCAGAGCTATTATGGAATTGAGTAGGGATCTTTTTTGAAAAAAAGGACATGGCTGGGCAAACATGGCTACTACGGTCTATCAATTTTACAGACAGAACTGCATTTCACTCATTGCATCCCTTCCACGCTGCTGTGTTTACATCTGAGAGGAAGAATAAAAAGAAAAATCTTTCTTTGCTCATGCGCCCTGAGGGATTTGCCCATGACTGTATATCAAACATTTTTTATTTTATCCTAACCTCAGGATTCCTGATCTGATTTCGTGAGGTGGTTGTGAGAGGCTGATCGCCGCTCCCTTGTACACTACATGGCCTACGATGCACAATCAGGCTGAAAGTCGGCCCGATCGAAAGATTCTTGCACGAAAATCGCACAGTGAACGGCGGGCTTAAGTAACCTAAAGACATCTGCTATGAATTAGATTGCTATTTTACTTTTAATTCTTTTGAGTCTGAAGCTAACTATGTCATTAGCCCTGCATCAAAAGGCAGCTCGCGGATTTTTATACTGGCTCAAAATTCCTGTATTTTGTACACATTTATATAAAGATCTTGCTTAAAATGCCAAAACTGTTTAAAATTGGCCACTTAGTGATCCTGTAGCCTGGAAACCCACCTTATTTTTTTCAGGACCTCTTACTAATGTTTTCCTTGTATCTTTTTGCAGCCTACCTCCAGTCTTTGCACTGCACTTTGTAGAGGGGCTTCCTGACAGTGACATCAGGAAGTACACCTTCAGCTTCAAGGGGAAATGCTACTCTGTGAGCACAGTCATTCAGTACAACCATCAACTCAAGCACTTTGTCACCTGGATCAACAATGAAGATGGTACGTGTTGAATAAAGACTAGTGGTTGTCCTTTGATGTGAAGGTTGTCAGTTAGATTTCCCTCAAAGTCTTCATACTCTTGTGCATTAAACATACATCAGATCTCTGCTACCTGTCAGTGTGTGAATGTGTAAATATTGGTTGAATGCAGGATTTTATTTATCTGTAACTCCACCCAGCTGCCTATTTTTTTTTCCATTCATTGCTCCATCTTTCTTTTTATTCATTCATACATTCCTCTCTTTTGCTCTTCACTATTTCTGATTCTCCTCTTGTTTGTTCTTTCCGATAAGAAAATGAGCTTGTAGTGATGTTCATTCATATCTTTTATTTAAATAGTTTATTTGAACATATGACAATAATTATGAAAAAGAAAAACTTGTTGCCAATGGAAAAGGAAAAGTCTTTGTGTTCATTCATATTCATTTTGCCATTTTAAATAAGTTAACCCCTCTAATTGACAGCCGGTTTATTTATTACATACTCTTTTAATTTAAGTCCCACCATTAGTTGCCTCTTTAATTAAATGAAACATTTCTGAAGCATAGCTCAAACTGAGCCTGTTGGATGATACATTTGGTGTCAAATGGAAGCGTTTAAAGTTAAACTTCAGATGAAAAAGGTTTTCCTTGTTGCTTATTTCCTCTCAGCTGGTAGCAGGAAGGCCTCTACACCATAAAGAGACAAAACCTAAATCGAATTAAACCTAATTATTTGGTGTTGTAAAAGAGGCAGTCTTCACTTAAGAAGCGCCCCCTTTCACTTCCATTATTAAACAGCCTCTAGCAGGTGACTGCAGGCTGGCTGACTACCCACCTGACTAATCAGCCTGCTATTATCAGCTTGTTCAGCTCCCACAGTTACTCAATAAAGAGCTTAGCAACAATATGGTGCTACGCTGTGCAGTAAGAAAATTTACTTTAAAGCCTCCCCTCAGGCTCATTGGTGCTTATCTTTTTTTGTCTATTAATCCTGCATAAACTCTGGAGATTTATTACTAGCAGAATGAAATTATGCTGCCTCATTGTTTATCAGATTCTAAACTTGTTTGAATTTAATCGACTCGTTGTTTATTCCTTCAGGATCTTGGCTGGAGTATGATGATTTAAAACACCCCGCCTGTGAGACCCACCAGCAGCTGCAGATCCCTGCGCAGGAGATCCATGTCGTCTTTTGGGAGGTGGAGGGGGATCCATCGCTCTCTGCCTGTGCTCCCTCCCCAGCTGAGAATAAAAGGGTTTCCAGGTTGAAAGGCTTGAAGAAAGAAGTACAAACTGCACAGACTCCAGATCAGTCTTTTGTCGCCTCTCACAATGACACCGACATAGTCTGTGCTCTGTCAGGAGACGACGGCACTAACGATTCAGACACTACAGGTAAAGCTGAGATGGACACTTCGATAGGTGCCTCCACACTGCTCTATGCCTTCGAGGGCCTTTCTCATAATGACATCATCACATTAACTATGGTGGAGATGCAGCCTTCAGAGGATGTCCACCAAAATGAGGACCTGAGTTCTCCCGTAGGGAATGAAGCATCTTTACCTGACAGCTCCATCCCTGCAGCAGGCGAAGATTCGCATCAGGTCGCTCAGGCTGAGCCTAAATCTGATTCAGAATCAGGGGGTGCTCCAACGTTTGAGCCCAAGACCAAACATGGACAAGGTAGAGGAGCAAATACGAGGAAAAGCGCCAGGCTGAGAGGAAAAAAAGCAGATCCATCAAAAGATGCTCCACCTCCTGCAGCTCCAGAGCCACCGCAGCCTGTTAGCCTTGCTCAGATTGACACCCATCCTGCTACAGAGCCCACTTCCACGGTGTCTTCTACCAACAAGTCTCCTCCATCCAGCGCTCTGAGCTCTCAGTTTTCTTTCCTGCTAAGCAGATACCAACAACACAGAAAGCTTCCAGATCCTCCCCCAAACCAAAACCCTGTAGCAACTGAAGTGAAGCCATCTCACCCAGTTCACTCCACTCCCAACCCTGTGAAAAAGCTGCAGATTCCCTCAGGGGTTCCTAAAACTACGTTTATCACAGAGGAAGTAAAGTGTCTCCCACCAAAAGCTGCAGAGATGTACGGTGGCTTTGGTGCAAAGAACCCCAGTCCTGCTCCATCACCTTTAAGCATCCCTCCATTACTTTCAGCCGCCCATCCTAACCAACCAGCATCTCTCACATGGAAGCCCCCCCCTCTTCACCTGGAAATCTCCTCATTAAAGAAACCCAGCAGCACAAAGGTTCCTCTCGCTCTCAACAGCACTGAAGCCCTCAGATACAAACTCTTGAAGAAACTTAAAGCTAAGAAGAAGAAATTGGCAAAGCTGAACCACCTGCTGGAGAACGGAGGAATGACGCACCTCAGACCGGACAGCACCGACCTGGGCTCTCCAAGCACCGTCACCTCCAGCACCTTTGACGGCTCCACCTGCGATGACATCCTGTCCGACCTGCTGTCCCCGGCAACGACTGCCAGCCACCTTTCCCCGGACAGCACCGGCTTCCTGGAGATGGTGGCTAATGGGACAGAGGGGCCCAACCAGCTGGACTGTTTAGTGAATGGCTCTGGAGTCACGTCCCAAGCGGTCTGTCATAGAAACCAGCAAGAAGATCACAATTTCCTAGAAGACTTCCTCTCCCAGTTTTAAAGCTGTCAAAATTATCTTTTTTTCAATTTCATTTTAATTTAAACTGGAAGCTAGAATAACGGTTAACTGTAGAATTATGAGATGTGTTTGGCAGGCGGGGCTTCCTTTGTCTCCTTGGTTTTATAGGAGTGCTACATCTTTTGGTTTTACTTCAAAAAATTGCACTTTGTTTTTCGTATGTACTGTATGCAAAAACTGAAGCCTTGTTAGTTGCTAAAACTTAGTTTTTTTTTTTTTTTATAAATGACTTGAAGCTGAGAGGTTTTTATTGTCATTAAATGGTTCAGATGTCTTGTTTTTTTCACTTTGGGCGCCTGTGTTAAGGTAATAAAATATTTATACTTTATATTGATTCAAATCATTGGATTTTCCTTTTTCATCCTTTAGATGCAACTTGATGTGTTAATTTTTATATCCTCTCATATCATACAAGATGTTTAGGTACATATCAGTAAAATGTTATCTTAGAAATAAAATTTGTAGTCTAGCTCACAATCACATTTATTCTTTATTTAATTTGATAAGTCAGTTTATCTGAAAATAAGGTTGTCACAACAGACCAAATAAAAACAAAAAAGAATTTCTGCCTAGCTTGGATTGACTGGTATATGGTCTTCCAGCATCAAACATCTTCAGGTTCTGATTGTTGAAGCAGTTTGCTGCGTAGCGTGCATTCACATTCGGAACTTTGCAATATCTTAAAGGACCTTAGCTTATTCAGGAGGTATAGTATGCTCATATCCATAGTGCTCCTGTACATTCATGAACATTATTTCATTTCGTTAGTTGACAGGACTGATATTGTATTTTTGAGAATATCAATATTGCAACAAAACAGGCAGGGAGCAGGTGAGATGAGTCTTAGGTAAGATGTACATTATGAGAATTACAATATTTAGGGTAGAAGGAAACTAATACGTTGACAAAATGTTAAGTTAGTATATGTGAAAAGTTAGTTCCCATACCGGGAGTCGAACCCGGGCCGCCTGGGTGAAAACCAGGAATCCTAACCGCTAGACCATATGGGACTTATTCATCATTGTCAGAAAAAAAGGTATCAATCTATGTCGATGTTGTTACTACCTGATGGTTTTGAGTACAAATTCATCATGGATATCGAAAGAATAATTTCGATGTTCGTCATTAGGCCATATCCGAAATGACTGAAATGTCATCCGTCTCCTATCAATGTGTTGCACGGAGTTAGAATACATGAGCATCATTTAAAAACAGTTGGCTTCTATATACATAACGCTTTTAATTATTTTGAAAACTATAAGATAATTAATTATATTAATTGATTGCTCAGCAGACCAAGAGTTTTGAAATTTGAAAAATAAGCCGGTTTTCCACATGCAGGCGCTGTTTGACAAAAATTACAGCTAAACCAGCTTACTCACGCAACGCAGCATAATTATTGGACAGACAGACAGGCAGACAAACAAACAGGCAGGCAGGAAGACAGACAAGCAGATTAACAGTAACCAAATGTAAAACATTTTCTTTTATTTTTTTATTTTCATCCATTTCCAAAATTATACACTTATATCTCATTATCCCTGAGGTGTGACAGAGTTTTATGGGAATAATAAAAAAAAAATTCTTAAAAGAATAAAACCAAGATGAACCAAAACTGTGATGAGGCCTTCACCTAAATATTGCTACTATTATTCAGAAATGTCTCTGCAAATAAAAAGATCCTCTCATGAAATGAAACAAAATTCACAAAGTATGAGTGTAACGACGACCAGGAGGTAGATATTTTCCACCACTTTGCTCTCCCACAGACTGCAACTCTGGGTCCCTGAGCAATGACCCTTAACCCCATACTGCTCCCCAGGCGCCGCACAATGGCAGCCCTCTGCTCCTAAAGGGGATTGGTTAAATGTAGAGTCAATTTCATTGCTTTACACTTGTGACAGTGTAATGAAAATAAAGTTGAATTCTATTCTATTCTATTCTATTCTATTCTATTCTATTCTATTCTATTCTATGAATAAGCAGCTGTAGATGTGCATGCTGTCTGTATAATCTCATTCCCACACTGACGCAGAGGAAGTAGCATGCAACCCCTTTTTTTTTGCCCCCTTAAAGTTGACCCAGTGCATAATTTACATAAAGAGGAAGCCAGAGACTTTGTGTGTTTGATTTAAGTGAGATGGCAGCGTATGTGGTGCCATAAAGGGAGAGCATAGGTAGATTTAAATAGATGTTTCTGGATGTGAAAGAGAGGCATTGTCCTTCTAAGCTTCAGCATCCAGCAGGTTTGCATCATTGAGCCATGGAGTCGTGCAAAGTGGTGGAAAACGTCTACCTCCTGGTCATTGTTACACTCATCAGTGTTCTTCAGAATGGTGAGATAAAGACAAAAAGTAATGTATATCTATATATATGTGTGGAGCCAATAACAGATTCTGTTTGTGTTTTTAGTATTTTTTGCCCAAAAGGTTGAGAGGGAATGCAAGAACCGCAACATGAACACGTCTGCTTTTGAACGAGTGTCTTGTGCAAAGTAAGTGCTTTTTACTCAGTTCTATTTCTTTCCAATGAAGAAACTTTACTGGGAGGACATGTTTAGTGTCCTAAAAAAAAAAACAAGCAAAAAATGAAAGAAGTACTGATTAGGAACGTGTTTAAATTCTGTAAAAAACACACATTATTCTGTTTTTAATGGAAATCCCTTACAATTCTGTGTAAAAAAATACTAATATCACACATGTTTATTGTTAGTATAAAATTTATACTGGCTTGTTTTAGGACTTCATTTGCTTTGCTCCTTATATGAAAAAATATGCATTTTATGGTCTTAGCATTATTATAGTAGGGTCTATTTATGCTATAAAAAAAGTAAAATTATTACTATAGAGGAAGTGTATTTGCTGGTATATCTACTGTGCGACGGTAACTTACATCACAGTCTTTTGTCCGGTTACTCGATTACTTCACAAGCAGCAACACTTTCCTGTTTTAACAGAAATTGTTAAGGCCACATCCTTTCTTCCATATTCCAGGAAATATGTCAACAATGAAATTGCAAATCTCAAAAGCTTTCCTAATTTTAGAAAATAGATTTGAAGGAGAAAGTTTTTCTTAAACATGGAAATGTTCATGTTTAAGACTTTTTATCTGATTGTCATTACCGGTAACTGGTATTGATGTAAGGTTGTGTATCATAATGCTTTAAATGATGCATTTGAGCAGGAATTGTCTTCACAAATTTGAATTTATTGTGGATTTTCTCTAGTCAATATAATGACAAATAATATAGGCCTTAATACAAATAGCTAATATACACAAATATTTTTCTCAAACTAAAAAAGCCTCACTGGGAAAAAAAGAGCTCGTTTTGGAGTTGGAAAGTTGTATTTTGATATGACCAAACGTTCTTGTCATCAGAGGTCAGCTCAGCAGACCTTTCCTTAGAGGATATTTGGTTTGAACATGCAGTTGCAGCATAAGCTTTAGTCTGGGCATCACCATTAAACTCCATGTAGATATAGAACTGGTTTCATTGTGAACAATCAAGAGGAAAAGCACATTTATTTGCATAGCACTCTTCATACACTAGGTAATTCAAAGTGTTTTAGAGGAAAAGACAGAAATAGAGATAAGAAAAAATGAAAACAGGGAAGTTAAACTAACACAAAACATAAATAGATACTAAAAGTGAACATTAATAAGCAAAGTTTTCATTAAAAAAATGACAATTATTTAGAGGTTTTGTTGCCTGGTTTATCGGCATATTCCAGATTGTTGCAGGCTTGAGCCTTAGTGCTTCCTGATTTGCTTAAAACACCTTTCAACAAATTTGGTTTTATATGAGATTGACCGTTTTGGTTTCAGTAGGACAGGGATCACAACCCCACCCACAGACACACACACACACACACACACACACACACACACACACACACACACACACACACACACACACACACACACACACACACACACACACACACACACACACACACACACACACTCATGTGTGTTTTAGAATAGATCCAGCTGACCAGCATTAGTTTTCTGACACAGCCCAGCTGACACCCTTCCAAAAGGTTCTGACAAATGGGAATTTTGTCCTTTAGAGATTAACCGTTGATATTTGCCACACCTTTGATAAAGAGCTTGGTGTTTTTCTTTATTGCTTTGAGCTGATGATTGACTGAATTTAAAGTTGTGACTCAGTCAAAAAAAAATACTATAAAGTCCCACCCGTCTAAAACTGTCACGGTGTAATTAAAATTCTTTTCTCTAGTGACTAAGAAAGTTTTCTTTTTTTTACTTCAGTCTTTTCTGCCCGGCCTTTAACTCTAACAATACATATATTTTTTGGTACAACAACTGAGCAGTTACAAGAAGCTCCTTGTTATTGCTGGGGCTCCTCTCAGCAACCACCTCAGAAATTGCTTCAGCCTGTCAATGCAAATGATTTCCCCATAATTGATAGCAGTTATTGCAGATTATTTGTTCTCTAATAATTTTCACAATGTTTTTGCTGTCCTCTTGGAAAAGACATCTTTCATATCATGTTTTTGTTTTAATCCCTTGGTTAAATAAAGACTTAAATAACAAATTCAACTTTCTCAATCATAGCCGGAACTGCATGGATGCTTATCCCACTTTCCTGGCAGTCATGTGGTGTGCCGGAGTGTGCCTCAGTCAAGGTAATGATTAAACCTTGCCATTGGACACACTTTTTTTTTTTTTTTTTTTTACATCTATGTGGTCTGATTATTTTATGAGCAGCTGTGTAACAAAGAGAGCTCTTTATGCTTTTCTATTCCTCAATAAAAACATCCCACATTCACACCTGGAATAAAACAGGACCTACCTTTGTTCAGTATGTGTGGTATGTGTGTGCAAAGCAGCTACGCTGGAACTGAAATGCTGTATTTGGCAACCCATTTTCCTAGGCTCTCAGCTTGTTATGCTTGTCATTATATTAATGCTATATCAGATCAAACAGGTTTAACATATTTTAGATCTGTTAATCACACTGTGTTTTATAAGCCAACATCTTTATCAAATTTCTTCCTACAGCTCCTGCTGCCTTTGCTGGCATCATCTACCTTCTCGTCAGGCAGAAGTACTTTATTGGATACCTGGGACAGAGCTCTCAAAGGTACCCAAGTTCACCAAGCTCTCTGTTTATTTTGTATGTGGAATCCATCTTTGACCGGCTATCTTGTTGCGCAGCACTCCTGGGTACCTGTTTGGGAAACGCATCATCTTCTTCCTGTCCATGATGTGCATCATTGGAATCTTTAACTATCTGCTGTGGCGTTTCTACGGCCGCGACTACAAGGAATACGTGGAAACCATCACAGGCGCAGCATCTGCTCTCCTTCTGCTCCCTTAGTTTAGCTTATTGCATACAGTGATGGACATTAAGTATTCAACACAACAATACATGTTTTAAGCAGTAAATATAACTAATAACTTCCCCCACTAGGCTGACATGTTGGTGCAACTCGAATGATTGACACATGCAAGAAAAGGCCAATAACTTACACTGGATTTAGTAAAGCATATTGCCACAAAGAATAACTATTAAACAGATGAAAAAGCAAGGTTTAAAAGGGTAAAGACAGACAAGAAAGGTGCAGGAAATGATTTATATAGTATTTAGAAAGTAATTTTCTTCCCTATTAGAAAACATATCGGCTGGTTTAATTACCAATTGAGTACGAAAATTGTTAATTTGAAGGATATCCTACAAGAAGTGGGAATCAAGACCATTGCAAACTATGTTCAAAATTATACTGAAGTCAAATAGAGATATATTTCTAAAATGCTGATTTCCAGGAATGCAATTAGTGCTGTAATATAGGAATGGAAATAGCATAATTGAAAAAAACAAAAACAAAAAAAAACACCTTAAACCATGTGCTCCTTGTGAGATTTTGCTTATACCAGGTATACTGTGATCCTTGATTGCAGAGGAGTGAAAAGATTTACTATAATATCAAGGAGACCTGGCATTAGCAGGTAGTCCATCAAAACCGTAAGCTGCTCAAAGTGTGAGACTTCCATCCTGAAGATAACACCAAACAGTAGAGGGTAGAAATGGGAACGTCTTATGTAAAAAAATAAAATAAGGATCCTGAACACCTCAACTTTAAAATTTAGGAAAATAACACTGCTTGAATGGGCTAAATAATAATTCTGATAGTTTTGAAAGAATTGTATGACAAAGACCTCAAAACACTCAAGATTAGATTTCGAGAAGGGGTTAAAAAGCCTTCCTTTACAAATTTTCTTATTCAGATTGACCATTGGTACCCATTTCTACATCTTTTTGCTCCATTTATATACATTCTGGACAATGTTGTGATGATTTTCAAATGGTATTACCTGGATTGTTACCAATATGTGAATTTAATGCCACCTAGGTTCCTTATACGTTTATCATCCTTTACAAAAATCAGCTGTTCAAAAGTTAACTTGCATATGCATAAAACTGAATTAAAAGGCTTCAAACATGCATGTAGAAAGTATTTTATTGCATCTTATTCATCAAAATTCAGTAAAATATACTCCATATTTACAATATACACACAACATTTACAAAAAATATAAAACAAATGACTGTTAAGTGCAAAAGACTTCAACCCCTTCTTTGTAAATCTCTGTACAGCACAAACAGACGGAATTTAACTTGGAAAAAGTTGTTCTTGTTAGATCTATTTACAGGCAATTGTACTGTATATTCTAAAAAAAAAAAGTCCCAGATTTTAAGGGTGGCGTTTTGCCACCCATTGAAAAGCAGATGCTTTCAGAACCAGCAGCTTAAACAGCAAACTCCCAGCATAACAAAAGAAGCTGGTCACTGTTGACAAAACTCCTGCTGAGCATTCTTCAAAATGCAGCAACGGATGTTGCAGAAAAGTTTGGCGGATAGGATCGTCATGATCTCCCTTCATGTGTTTACTGGTTTCAGCTGTTAAAAAAAAAAAAAAAAAAGTTTTAAACAGGATAAAAAATAACATACAATTTTTAAAAGTTTCTAACAGATTACTTACCTTAAATGATCTTTTGCTTAAGCCAAGCCAATGAGGGAAGTCAAACAGGGCATCAGAATAGTATTTAAGGGTAAAGGAGGCATTTTCCCATGTTAGATTATATTTCATCAGGTCCTTAGCAATAAAGCCTTCAGCAGTCAAGCCCTCCAAGATTTCCTTCAAGTCTATCTAAAATGGGGGAAAGGTTTTATTAAACTCTGTATATAATTTTCACCAGCAGCTCTGAAGGAGAAAACTAAAGCAGTGCTTACCTCCACCCTGTAGCTCTCTCCAGCCACAGAGGAGAGGGTCCAGTCCAGGCCTTTCTCCAGCTGCCACTTGATCATCGGATTCCCACCATCAATGGACAGAATGTATTCCTGCAGGACTGCAAACACACATTTACATGACATTTTATCATGAGCAAGTAGGAGTTTGCAGTTTAAAACAACAGAAAAGGTCAAAATGACCTCAGCTCTTTGCAGCCTTCTATTCTGGCTGCTCCACCCTGCTGCAAGCAGCCCAAAATGAATCATCTGTACCAATGCTGAATGCAGCCAAATGAAAAAAAAACTCTGAAACTAGAGCAAAATGGATTCATTATTTACCTCTGGAAGTTACGACCCTCTTCTTGTTGGTTTCCAGGATGGTTTGATCACAGAGAGAAACCAACACATAGATCTTCTTGGACAGCAGACTCTTCCTCATGCTGGTGTACTCCCACAGACTGTGCATTTTAAACTTCCTATTACAGAAAAGGATAAAGTTCACATAAGTTTAATCTGTGCATGTTTATCAGATTTAATTCTGTGTTATAAAATTGTATCTACCTTCCCAGTGAGTTCTGGAAAACTACCCCCCGGTCCCCAGCATGGAGGTTATCAATAAAAACCAGGCTGTCCTCCCCGGAACGGATCCGGTACCTGGAGCCGCAGGCCTCCACAGTAAAACCCTCCGGTGGGTTTTTCAGGAACTGACCCAGTTCAGTCATGGTAGTTCCGCTGCTCTGACTTTTCATCATCATGATGCCAACGATGTCTTTCAAGCCTCGCGATCAGCTGCGCTGTGCTGCTGGAGGTAAACAACGTTATATAGCTGCTGTCAAGTTCCCTCTGACTAATTACCATATCGGAACTTCCGGATCATGCCTGACAAAATAAAAGCTTGCAAAAAAACAAACAAAAAAAAATGCTTCATTCTCGGTTAGCCCAAAAGCAAAACACATAAAAAAGCAGAAAGTAGCCATATACATACATACATAGATGCTTATATATATATACTCCATCCCCAAGGGGATGTCTGGGAGACAGTGAAACTGTCTGAGTTTTTGCATTTGGAAGGACGCACACAATGGGAGACTTTTGATCAAATGAAAGTAACTTATAGTGATAATGTCCCATAATATAACCTTGTACAACATTTTGCAAGGTCATATAACGGGCATCATCGCCAAAAGTTACTTTAATTTCATCAAAAGTCTCTTGTGGTGTGAGTCCTTTCCAACATCTGTGCAGAGTGTGGGCTGGAAACCCCAAGGTCAAAGTTGGAAACACCTAAGGTGGTAGAGAACGACTGAACTAAGATCCAGCGATAGATTCCAGATACAGACAGACCGAATGGTAATGGTAAACCAACCGGACAATGTGAAGGGGGACAAAAAGCAGAGGAAAGCCGTTGTGGTTGACATAGCAATACAAGGTGAGTGCAACAAAAGGAAAAAAGAACATGAAAAACTAGAGAAATACCAGGGGCTTAGAGAAGAGATAAAATCTTTAAACATATTTTGAATGGAATAAAGTAATTAAGACAAATTAAATAAGATGTTTAAAGTAAAATAAAAAGCTCAGGGGAAAACGTGGCTGGAGTGATGCATTTCAGATCAAAACATAATAAATATAATCCAATCAAATATCTGTGAGCAGACTTGAAAATTTTTTTCATTAAATGCTCTTGATCTAATCTGACTAATTTTCAGCTAATTCCTATAGATGAATGGGAAACAACTGCAGATAGTGGATCTGAAAAACTAACTGCAACAGTATTTCAAAAATAGGTGATTGTCACAAAATCTTCTATTAAAATACATTAACATCCCTCTTAGTAATCATTTGGCATTATTTAAAAAAACAAAGAATAAATTATTTCAATTAATACATTTATTATTTACTCGTAACTTTCTTTTGGCAAATCTGAATAGCATTGTCTCTATAGTTTTAATTTGTTTAAATTTTCAATAGTTTTAAATGTAGATTGGAAAATGGAAAACATGCTGGTCTGGTTTAATGATTGACAGCATTTTCTGCATTTGGTCATTGTTCCCCCCCCCCCCCCCACCCAGAATAGTAATAAATGTGAATTACCTGCAGGTCAAAATGTTCAGCTCCATGACATACAGCATTACAACACAGACCAGAATATAAAAAAATATATTAAATACAATTAAAAACTATTAAAGAATATTGATGACAGGGGTTGGTTCTGTAAAATGTATACAAGCTTGCATTAGTATGCTTTTATTTAACATGTCCTTTTGCACATCCTGTTTCAGTTGCAAGAAAAACACTTCTAAATTGACAATGCCACGTTTTCTGGAAACACTTTGTGGGAGTTTCCAGCATACCAAGACTCTAAAGCAAAACAAAAACAAAAACAAAAAAAACACAAAAAGTTTAGAAGTGAACTGTGTGGTATCAGTTCCCAGAAACAAAAGCAGACTCTTAAACCAAGAGGAACAATTAGAGTAAACCAACAACCTTCCCATGCATTCAAACATGCATTACTTCATGATGTGTGTACTTAGTTTCAATGGCTACTTTGATTTACACTAGTTATGTGTAAGAATGACTCACACATTAGTGAAAACACCTTAAAAGGCTAGATCCAACCGAATTCCACCTCGTGAAACCTTTTGGGGGAGATCTATAAGTTAATTTAGATTTTGTAAAGTATGTGCTTAATAAAACTTGGTGCAGCTTTTGTTTCTATTGTTGCAGCTTGCAAAATAATTTCAACCCTGTTGTTTCTCCTTTAGAACCTATAAATTTAGAACCTTAAAAAAGATTAATCGCTGTTTAATTCAATACAGTTTCATTATATAGTGCTAACTCACAACACATGTCCTCTTAAGGCAAGCCACAGAGATAATTAAACCAGATCCCACAGTCAGATTAGTCCAAAGGTTTATTTTAGATAATCAGGTATAAAAGTATATAATTGACAAAGTAATGTGGGTTGGGAATTTTTAAAGTAAAGGTTTAATTACAACTACCTTAATAGACTGAGATACATATCTCTGTACCAGGATCTGTTAAGTACATCTAAGATGGAGGTGGATATAGGAGGGAATACTTCCTTTTTACTTTTAACCTGGTTGGAACTCGATCTAACATACAGGTTGAATGCTTAGATAGAGATAATGTCATGATCTGGCCTGTTTGCTCTCCCTTAATTAGTAATTCCTTTCACCTGCCCTCTTCCCTCCCTGCCTCATTATAATTAATTCCTCTCACCTGTTTCCTCTGGTTTATATTCAGTTCAGCCTGAGCATTCAGTGCCAGATCATTGCTTGTCTTTCTGTCAGTCTTTCTGTTCAGTTTTTATTTGGTTCATGTCCTGGATCCTGGCAGCCAGTGGAAAGAGGGTTTTAGTGTTTGTCTCGTCTCCTGATCGTCCACTGTTCCTCCCCTGCGGAGTCCTCTGGGTTTTTGGCTCATTATGGGGGGGGTTCAGTTTTTATCTAAGTAAGCCTGGCTCCTGGGTGGAGACCAGTTTAAAGTCTGCTTCAAGTTCCGGTTCCACGTCCTGTCTCGGCTACCCTCTTCCACTGAGCCTGCCTGTCTGCACCTGAT